TTTTGGTGCGAGTTGGATCGAAATCCGTGAATACTCAAAACAGCCATACAATGCACTTCTTGTTTTCAAATAATACGAGTACTCAAATTCAGCCCCTAATGTAATTGTATATGCCCCTCCAGATAACTATACGTGTCCCGAAGAGCATGGAAGAGCATGGAAGGGCAAGGATGGGATTAGAGTTATGGTTGAGGGCCCTAAGGAATTCCTACCCTTGTTTTTGTTCTAGTAAATTGAAAATAAATTGAAAATGTGGCGAACCCCCGGGTCATTCTGCTCATGGAACTTCGGACGTAAAGTTCTCAAGATATGAAATACTAGTTTTGAAGAGACAGTGAGCGAATACAGCAAATTACAATTCCATTACTGGTTTATCACTCACCTTTTTCATGTAATAAGAGCGTATATCTAACGTCGCAACATCGATCAAACTCAACTTCGTCCCGTTGTTGTTGTTGTTGTCTCCACCATCTTGGGGAAAGTCCTGTGACGTCATTATTGTTAACCAGATCGAGGCTACAGATACGTCCGTCTTTCCGTACATTCAGGATCACCTGAAACTTCTCGCTATATTGTCTACTTGCTTAAGACTACCATTACCTACTACTTTTCTCTATATATTAAGTCACAGAACTGGCTACGAAAACTTGCTTAGTTCGTCAATTATTCAGCTTCAATAAGTTAAAGATATGCACGTTGGACGTGGCCCCAAAACTACTATTCGAGTAATCCAAAAAAAAGAAACCTGAACGCAAAGTGCCGAGAATTAATAACAGTAATTTGTGAAGCTTTCAAGATTTGTATAAGATTCGTGAAACAACAAACTTCGAAATAATTGCTCTTGTAACTAAGAACGAACCAAGAACGTTCACTACTAGTAAGAGCCACAAGTGTATTCTTGGTTCTTTACACTCGCACGAGCGCCCTCTTTGTTAGTATTTTCCCTTGAGTTTCGAGGCCATTGAGCGAAAGTTTCTAGAATAAGGGTTGGTTTGATACCGCCTCATATGTACACCAAGCCACAATTCGCAATAGAAACCGGGAAGCAGCAAAGAATAAAGAGTCCTTTCTTGACACATCTGGGATCCAAAATTTTGACATTCATAGAAGTATAAAGAGAGAGACGGGGAAAACAACCTGATGCCCCTAGAGTAAAAAAAGCTCACCAATGTCGAATAATGCAATTTATGTTGTTGTTTTTTTTATATCATTGTTCATTCTATAAACATTCAACTTTCATTTATTGCTTGTTGAAATTTTTCCACCAAATGCTCAATTCTTTGTGTATTTTTTACAATTTATCGATGAGTGTTCGTCACATTAATCTTTCAGAATATACATTATAAATACTGGGGCATGTATTAATACTTGCATACTAACATTTTGTATACTTTATGAACTGTATTAGTCTCAAAATCCCTTACACAGAACCTATTAACTGCAACAAGGGGGAAAAGGTAGTTATTCGATTTTCAATGACTGAAAAATTTGGCTAAAATCTTAAAATTAGGGGTAAAAAGAATTGATCGACCCAACCT